CCGAGTACAGAAGATGAGATAGCTGAGATGAGTCGATTACCTTATGCTTCCGCTGTTGGCTCGATCATGTATGCTATGACTTGTACCCGTCCTGATGTGGCCTTCGCTTTGAGCATGGTCAACAGATATCAGGGGAACCCTGGCAAGGCTCATTGGACTGCGGTAAAGAATATTCTCAAGTACCTGCGGAGGACTAAGGATTGGATCCTTACCCTTGGTGGGATTGATGACTTGAGAGTAGTAGGGTATAGTGATGCTAGCTTTCAGACTGATAGGGATAACTTCCGCTCTCAGTCGAGCTGGGTATTTACCTTAAATGGAGGGGCAATCACTTGGAAGAGTTCCAAACAGGAGACTGTAGCTGATTCGACTTGTGAATCAGAGTACATAGCAGCGAGTGAAGCGGCAAAGGAGGCGATATGGCTGAGGAACTTCATCGGAGACCTTGGAGTTGTACCAGCTATTAAGGAGCCTATGGAGATTTTCTGTGACAGCAATAGTGCGGTTGTCTTAGCCAAGGAACCAAGAGATCATGGCAGATCCCGACACATTGACAGAAAATATCACTTCATAAGACACAAGATAGAAGAGGGACTCCTCGTGGCAAAGAGGGTATCGTCAGATGAGAACCCTGCGGATCCCCTTACGAAGGGACTGACAAGGGTGAAGCATTTGCAGCATGCGAGACGCATCGGGCTGATGGACGATATTAGTTTTACAGATTAGATAGTTATTACTGAAACTTGTAAAATGTAATCGACGTTTGATGATGAATAAAAGTTGTGATTTATTTATGAGTAAGGTGTTGCTATCATTGTCAATTATTTACTATTGTTTCAGCTTTGCATGTTTTGACTTCCAGAATAATAAGTTTATTCAAACTCTCCACAGTCGGTCATATGTCGGAAGTAGGTATGAATCAAGACTGTCATGAAATGGGATTGTAGATGACTAAAGGTGTTTAGCCATAGCAATGGTTGCTACAACATTCATGAGTACTCATAAGTTATGAGTATTGGAATAAACCCACGCTCACTTGTATCACTTCATGGAATTTATCTCGAGTGATCGTGAGACGGTAATATCATATAAGTCTTCAAACCTAGAGATATGAGTTGTTACCTATGAGTTGGTTGTGCATTGATTGCACGTAAACGCATCAGTAACTTGATGTTATAAAACGTGCCTTTGTGTGCAATTCAATAAGTAGTAGAACAAGCATATGAGTCGAAGTTTATCTGTTCCTTCTAGAAATAGAAGCGATATCTGGGCCCCTCGATGATTTTGTTTTGACCTATGTACCGGACCCGGTCAGAACTAAATTGATGTGTTCGATTAAGTTCTTTGTCAAACAAATCGGAAATCGGGAAACAAACTGCTGGACAATAAGTAAGACATTGTTCCATGTATTTGTCCGGCTGATATCATGAGAGCAGAGGATTATGTGATCACTTATCTAAAATGGCGCTTCATAGTTCAACAGAGTTTTCGAGAGCTACGATTGCCGGTTGGTTCCTGAAGCTATATATGCAAATACAGTTATCAGACTTATCCAAGTGGGAGACTGTTGGATAAGGTGTCTAAGTCCATAACTTATTTGGTATATACTTGACCCGACCCGGCATGGTCCATTTGGGTTGCACTTCACCCGAACTATTTATATGGATAACATTATGAGAAGAGTATATTTGCGGCCTACTAATATATTATAAGTTATAATATATTAATATGAAATTGTATTATTTAATTAGTATTGATCTTAAATTAATTATGAATTAATTTAGTGATCATAAGGTGACTAATTAAATAATGGGCTATTGTACTTATATAGTGTGGGCTAACACTCATAAGGAAATGGGCTAAGCTTGAATGGGAGTCCATGGTTGATCCATGGAGCTTTTAACCCATGGATCCTTGGAATAGGAAAAGACATGGGTTATTAGGGTTTGCATGGTTCATAACCTTAATCATCTACACTATATAAAGAGGCTTATGGTGCTTGAAAAGACACTATGTGTGTGTGCATAAGGTGTGGCCGATTTCTAGAGTATTAGAGTGCTCTCTCATAAGTTTTCCAAGTTTGTGGTGATTTGTGATTTCCATTTGAGGCATTCACATTATTGGTGCTTGGCTCTCAAACTCCCAAGGAATCAACTCACTAACAAAGGTATGTAATTCTTCTAGTATCTTTTATGTTTAAAAGTACCCCATGTATGCTAGATAGGTTATGAACCTTGGGAAATTATTTTGCATGTATTTTAGACAAACATAGATCCAAGGTTTCTAGGGTTGCATGAACACCTTAGGAGTGTTAGTTTGCTCAAAACCCAACAGTTTTGACATTTATAACAATGTACTTTGGATTTTGTTATATTTTACCCCTGTTATCTGTTAAGATTTTTTATTTTGATAAGGTACGGGTTTTACATTTGGATATGATTTAAGTGTTAAATAATATTCTAATTCTATGATGTTAAACCTTGGAATTGTACTCACTAGGCTCCCCAAAGCTTAACCTACTTGTTGATGAAATTTTCCAGGTTAAAAAATGTTGGTAGATGTATTAGAGGATTAGCAACTATTGGACATTTAGAAGAGTGATACTGTTTTCTATAACTTAAATTGTGGTTATGATATCTTAAGGAGACACATTCGCATGTTTTTATAAATAAAACTTAACCGTGTTTTGCAAAATTTTATTTTGGGATTGGTTTCCGCAAACTAAACTTTGGAACTTCTTTTAAAATGTTTTAACTAAATGCAATTTAAAATAGCCCATGCAAGGGGTGCTTCAAAATTTGTTGAGACAAAGTGGGCAATTAACGTCATGGATTTTGACTATTTTGTTTATCATTGTTTTTTCGATTACTTCCACGTCCATAATCATGAGTGCTGACATGAATAATTGCAGGAGATGAAAAATGGTCACCATGAACAGGTGATTGGTATGCAACAAGGACAAGATTTGTTCTCCTAAGAGAAGCATTGAACTATTTATATAAATGACAGAAGCGGTGGTCTATGATGAATAATGCTTGAGACATTGTTAAATCGGGACAAAAGGTCGTTAATATTGTAAATAACCAAGTTTTTCTAGTACTTTAAAGTTGAAATCTTGATTCTCTAGTAAGTTGGCTATACCCTTGATCTTTGAGCAATACGTTGTAACCGAAAGCTCTCCCACGGTGATATAGTGGATTTCACTGTCATGGTGCCACTAATATGATCACTTACAATGGATTCTATTTTCTCTCATTTATTGTCCATAACTTTTAGAGTGAGATAATCATAGGTGTCGTCAATATGATCACTTATGTCATAAGCATCATAATTAGTAAAAAATAGTTCTCTCTATGAGTCGTAGTTGAATTGGTCCAAGTTTAGAACCAATGGGATGTGAGACTTTATCTTCGTGATACCACACACTTTAAGATGTGTTAGTGTTGCGGCAACCATAAATGAAGTGTTGAGATATTACAAAAGACTAGTAGTGAGTTGATTAGGGTTATGCTATGAGATATAGTGGCGACCCGGAAGAGAGAGAATAAATGTGGAAGGACATAATAGAAAATGAGATATATTAGGAGAATACCGAGGGGGACTTTGATACCATATTAACGTATGATATGCATTGCCTTTCAAATGAGTAAAAACTAGGTTTATATACAAAGATTATCCAGGATATCAAAGGGACGAACTTTATACATGTGTTTTATATACAAATACAAACATATACATATACACTAATGGATCCATATAAACATATGGTTGTCTTTTGGTGACATACCAGATCACCAGTATCCACTTTCGTTTATATTTCATGTCTTTCTTTCTTACTTGTGTTCATTATACCAGATCACACACGTTGCTTCAGTCATCGTGACAACATGAGTCATTACTTTATCCCATTTACTTAACTTATTTTCATTAGTCACCAGAGTCCTTATTCATACAGTTTCGAGAGGTTTGTAGCGTGTATTCATACTTCATACTTTATGGGTTTCCTATGTTGGTTAGTACATACCCATCATATTCCTTTAATATCTAGTCATTCTTCATCATATTCACATTCTTTATCGTTATTATATAACTAACAATTCCATTTAGATGCTCGAAAGATACAAATAAAAAGATAAATAAAGAAGATTTTCTTGCTTTTATTTTGTCCGAAGTGTCTTTTTGGCCTGGCCCGGTCAATACCCTACCGAGCATTTTTTTGTTTTAACGAATTCCATATATTTATAGGTATAAGAAACGTATTATAAAAAAGATACCTAATTTGGTATCTGTGTAAGAATTTCCATTGTGAGGTTTACATATACTTATCGTTTTTGTTATAATGAAAACTGAAAGGATTAAGAATCAATTAAGTATGTTTTGTAGTTTTTTATGTCATTAGGCAACTCCAATTTATACACTCGTTCCGTATATATCTTCTCGTTTGTTCGTGGATTAACATCTCGTGGTCCTTTGATGCAAATAAAGAAATCGTCTTGGTAGCATCAAACCAATAAAACAAGGGTTAACTGTGGAGCTTGTCTACAAACAAGATAAATAGATACATGCAACGACCCCCAAATGTACCCTTTAGCCACAAGGGGAACCAGATAAAAAAAGTCGTAGTAGACATAATGTCCACATAATCTAAAATGGTAAACAATTTAGATTAGACATAACAAATTTCATTCAATAAGGAATCTTAGTTAAATACAAGGCACAATACTTATATGTAATTATTCCAATTAATAAGCACATGATTCCTTGTGATCCATTTTCAAGGAGGTTCCTTTAATATTAAAGGATGTTTATGTCGAGTAAAGTGTGTCAAATCATATGCCAAGTCTTTTAAAAAGTTAAAAATATAATGATTTTAATAAAAAATAACATAAAAATCTAAAAAGACAACATCTTTTCTTGCAATTTGTCTTAAATATTTACCTATATTGATGTAATGTAAAGTAAATTGGGAAAAAAATATTTGGTGATTAGAACCTTTTATGGAAAGGAGTGAGAGAGAGAATAGAAGTAAACTAGAAACCCTTTTTCTAACCAGAAGCCTGTCCATCGGCACGCGGACCTCAACAGACCATGATTGCCATTTGTCCATACTCTCCACTGATCACCTTCCTTCAAAATATTATTCAATCCTCCCTCCGTCATCCATGGCGGATTCCACCTTCTTGTTTCTGACGCACACCTTACAATATTTGGATAATAAATCATGTCGGTAGCCTAAATACAAATTTCAACGCATTTATTTTGAATTTGAAAAACATGCACCTCTTCTTTCGTCTTCTTCTACAAATCTCTGTGCAAACACATGCCAAAATCACACATTTCGATATTTTATTGCTCTGAAGGTTGCTGTAGTACTATCGATTTCTGCTTCGCTGATTCTCACTGTCTATCTACTACATTTAATTAATTAATGCTTCAAGATTTCCGCAATCCCAACTTTAGTTTCTCTCTCTTTCTAAATTTTAACACCGGCATCGTTTATCCCTCTCCATTAATGCGTTTGCAGACTGCGATGTTATACATGTATGGAAGCGTATTCATAGATCTGGCAAGTTTTGATATGGGTTTACAAGTCCAGGTGCAGCAGAGACAATGATACGAAAACTGGGTTTAGGGTTTGGGGGGAGATTGATGATATTGTGTTACTGACATGGGCTGCAGACCTTCCAAAGTTGACGATTTGCCATTGGTGATACGTTGTAGAGAGAGGAAGAGATTGATCAAGTCCGCCGCGGATTACCGGTACGATTTGTCTTCTTCGCATCTGGCTTACTTTCATTCTCTTAGAGACATCGGTTTTGCACTTTCTCGATTTGTTGATGAACAGCTTGTAATCCCCTCACCCTCTCCATCCTCCCCCGTACTGACATTGCCATCTGATCAAGGTAAGACTAAAAACAATGGCTCCATGTCTTCTGGTTCGATTTCTCATATTCATTCCATAGATGGTGGAAATGGGGATTCTGAATCTGATCTTAGTTCGTCTCTGGATGGCCATATTCATCTACATGATAGTGGTGGTTTTGAAAATGAAAAACCCCGATCTTCCTCGCATAATCGGCCCCATCACTACAACGAATTGGATTCAAAAGACCCTTATGTAATGAACAGAGAGCCACCACCCTATCAACCTCCTTGGGGACCAAACCAAACAAATTTCAGTGATCCTTATGCAATGAATAGAGGACAACCGCCCTATCAACCTCCATGGGGCGACCCTTATGTTGTGAACCCATCTGCATTCCCATATCAACCTCCTTGGGGACCAAACCAAACTAGTTGGGGCGAGAATGACCCTTATGTGATGAACCCATCTGCTTCACAATATCAACCTCCATGGGGAGCATATCAAGAGAATTTTGATTCTCACAATGAATATGGTGGAAATCCCAATTCAAATCAGTATGCTTCTTATATGAAAAAATCTGCCCCAGCTACCCGCACTGTGATTCAACCAGAGGAAGCAAGGGGCTTTCAAGAAACTAGGCAATGGCCTGATCCACCACAATATAATCCATATGAAAATGCATATGGGTATGGGTTTTCTTATGGAGGGGCACCAGCTCCCCAAGAACCTGAAAAACCCAAAAGTCCTCCACCTCCTCCTCCACCCAAGGATTCTGATTATCTTAACTTTTTTGATGCGTATGATAACGGGTACCCTGGTTTTGGATACGGATATGGATCCATGGTTAGTAGTCCAGATTCGAGTGAAGTGAGAGAGAGGGAGGGAATTCCAGACTTGGAAGAAGAAACAGAAACCGAGTCCAATCATGAAGAAGTTCTAAAGAGGCACACCACTAATATAAAGAGAAATTTAGGTGAAGGCACATCAAGATCAGTTGGATTAGAAGATAATGTAGGTAGTTCATGGAGGGAACATTCTAGAAGAATCCCACCAAGAAAAAGTGAAATGGAAACACATGATGAAGCTACTTTGAATTCAGTAGCATCGGAAAATAATGAGAGAGCACAATCTGTTGAAATTGAAGTAGACAGGCATAGTCCTGAGACAGTTGTTTCACAAAGCATGGGGGAGGGGTATGAGGGTAAAAAGGGAGTTAGTTTTGATGTAGATGAGGAATCGATACATGAGATTGAATCCTCAATGTTAAGTAGTTTGACAACATTATCTGTTCATGGTTCTCGGGATCTTCAAGAGGTAGTTAACGAAATCAAGGATGAATTTGAGGTTGCCTTTGGTTACGGGAAAGAGGTTGCCTTGATGCTTGAAGCGGGGAAGTTGCCATATCAATCAAGGTTTGCAGTTCTCAAGGGTAAACAACATTTGATTTTTGTCACCATGATAAATATTCATACATTTTTTTTTTTTATTTTTAAATCAGATCTCCCTGTCGTAGGGCTCTGTTTTGCTCTGATTCTTTTATGTTGGAGCTGTCTGTAGTCGTTTTTGTTTCATGGATGTTTAGTGTTCCTTTTTTTTTTTTTTTTTTGCATCTAGTGATTATTGTCCACTGAAATGGACCTGCTTCTAGTGATCTTACTGGAAGGAATTTCTTTTTGGGCTAAATGCAAGAAACAACAATGTACTTTCATTTCCTAGTGTATATAGCAATATAGCATCATAGTCTGATTTTTTTCCTATTACAGCATTGTACTTTCCGTTTTCTTTTTCTTAAGGCGCTGCCATTTGAAAATTTACCCAATTGTAACATCATACTTTCAAACTTTTCTTATAGGAAATTATACCCAATTATAGCTGTGAAATTTGCTTTTTATATGAAGAACATGCCTATAGTTGGGCATTTGGGTACTTTTTTCAAAGTACTGTGTTGTAATAAGAAAAAGATTGAAGTATGATGCTGTAATAAACTAATAAATAAATCAACAAAAGTACATTACTATTCTTGCATTTAACCCTTTCTTTTAATCATGAAAAAGAAAAGCCAATGTCCTGAGTCTGCCTGCAGCAACAAAAGTATATATATTTGGCTTTCCCTGTATAGAAGTGAGCATACAATGAGGAGCAATAAAAACCCAAAATGCTAAAATTTTGAGCCTGTTCTGTTGTCCCTGTTGTCCCTGTTGTCCCCACAAAGCAATTTTGAAAAAGTATAATGCCCTAATAAGACAAAGTACAACGTTTTGATAAGAAAAAAACTGAAAATACAATGCTGTGATAGATAGAAATGATATATAATAGTAGGATGTTAGAATAAGCAAATAAATGACAGTAGGTTGCTATTTCTTGCATTCAGCCTTTTTTCATTATGCTGTTCCGAAGTCGCATTGATGTTTTATAAAACTGTATCACAGACTAGTACTTATATATATATATATATATATTATATATATATTATATATATATATATATATATATATAATAATAATGTTATTTTGCAGTGGCCTTATCCAAGATTCTGTATCCTTTAGCACCTTCAGAGCATCCAATACAATCTGTAAGATCGTGTTCTCGGGTAACAAAATTAGCAGGATCTTATAATGTGGATGCAGTTCCCAATGTTAGGTCCATCAACCTTTCTTCTACTTTGGAGAAGCTATATGTATGGGAGAAGAAGTTATACAAGGAAGTAAAGGTAATATCTTCATCATTACTATTGCTCCTTGTTCTAATAGTCAATATATGCAAAGCATTGTACTTCCTTTTTTTTTTTTTTTTTTTTTTTTTTTTTTTTTTTTTCTTATTAGGACATTCTACTTTGGAAAATCTATACCCAGTTACAGCAATCAATTTGTATTTGAATGACATTGCTATTATTAGTACAATATTTTAATAGGACTACATGAAAGTAGAATGCTATGATAAGCAAACAAATATATGAAAGTACGTTGCTATTTCTTGCTTTTAACACAATATAGGGCTAAATACAAGAAATATGAATGTACTTTCCTTTATTTGTTTACTATTATAGCATCTTACATCCATGTAGCCTTTTTACAACATTATATTTTCAATATCTTTCTTAATAAGAAATTGTACTTTGGAAAAGGGTTAAGGTTGAAATTGGCCCTCCAATAATCGTTTAAACTTTCTTTTAGAGGTCCGATGTCATTTCACTTTCAAAATTGTATCCAGTGACCTGGTATAGCAGGGTTACCCAGCTTTTTTAATCTACACATTTACCCCTAGTTTTAGTTTTTATGTCCCAACTTGTTTTACATAATTTTTTATTTTAATATTTGTTTTTTTAGTAATTTGTCTTAATTTTCTGAATTAAATTTTGTTATTTTTTCATCTTTTACAACTTCATTTTACATGTTTTTTTTCAATCTTGTTTTAACATGTTTTCATGTTGCTTTTTTTTACTTTGTCTTAAGATTATTTTTGTAAAAAAAAGCATAAAGACGTGTAAAAAAAGTAGAAAACTGTGTAAATACGACGTAAAAACGAAGTTAAATGAATTTACAAAAGAATAAAATAAAAATTGGTTTGTATTTGAATGACATTGCTATGATTTATGAATCATATAATGGTGTAATAGAATGAGATGAAGTAGGATGCTATAAGTTATAATAAAGAAATATCTGAAAGTATGTCGCTATTTAACCCTCTGATGTATATGTATTTGTATAATCAATAATGAATGAATCATAAACATATAGCGTCCATCTTTAAAGGAGAGAGAAACACACTTCATTCTTGATTGTTGAGACTATGACTATGACCTTCCTACCTTGTAATTATTATATCTGTAAAACTGAAAACTCTTCTCCCTTGTATTGGTAACCAAATAGTGTTGAAGTAGCAAAATAGTTTACATTCAACATTCAAAACATGAATAAACTGCCTGCCTGCCTTGATATTACTAGCTACTTTACGAAATTTAGACTCTACATCTGATAAGATATCAATTAACAAAATGCAATATATATAATAGAATCCTACTTTCAATTCTTTTTATCACTCACGGCTCACCTCGTTGTACTCTCATTTTTTTTTTTTTTTTTTTTTTTTTTTATATAGCATTGTGCTTTCAAATATTATGTTACTAGGGCATTATGCTATGAAAAATCTATCCAGTTAGAGGGAGTGAAAATTGGTTTGTATTTGGTGGATTACGTTGCTGTAATTGGGTAGATTTCTCAAAGTACCATGGTGTAATAGGAAGAAATGAACGTAGACTGCCATTATGGTTTAGTAAACAAATCAATGAAATCTGTTTATATTAAATTTTAACTGAAATTATGTATCTTTGTTACTGTATAATAATTCTTGGGAGCTAAAGCCTAAAACTAAAAGAAACTGAAAAAATGCAGTTTTTCCTTTTGTACAAAAGGGAAACATTCCAAGCTAACCAGGATTTTTGCATCATAATGGTTAAATGCAAGGAATAGCAGTTTTTTGTGTGTCATTTCTGTCTGTCTAACGTCTATCACATGCCAGCATTGTTTTTCTCATATTTTTTCTTAGCAAGGCATAGTTTATTATAGTAGTATGAAAATCTACTCATTTATAGCATTTTACTTTCATCCTTTTTCTTATTTGGACATTATAGCACTGAAAATTGGTATGGTACAATTAGGTAATTTTGTTGCAAATTGCAATAGAATTAGAAGAAGAAAAAAATGAAAATAGGATGCTCTAGTCTATAATAACTGATACATGAGGTGGTTTTACTTTTTAGGATGAAGAGAGGCTGAGGGTGATGTACGAGAAAATGTACAAGAGACTGAATGAATTGGATGCAAATGGAGCAGAATCTAGTAAAATCGATGCTGCACAGGCTTCTATACGGAGGTTGATGACTAAACTAAACGTATCCATCAAAGCCATTGATGCCATATCTACCGAGATACACAAAGTCAGGGACAAAGAACTGCAGCCACAAGTCAGCGACTTGATCTACGGGTGGGTACCAGTATCATTTATCATTTATCATTTATCATTTATCAACCAACATCTTCATCATCATCTTCTTCTTCTTCTAATAATAATAATAATAATAATAATAATGATTGTGTTTGTGTTATTATATATATGTATATCTACAGACTGATAAGAATGTGGCAAGCGATCGTGAAATGCCACCGAAAACAATTTGAAGCCCTCATGGAAAGCAGAAGCCCGAACTTTACGAACAACAAATCTTGAACAAGATTCAAACTCCAGAGCTGTAGTCGATCTTGAAACCGGACTCGTAACGTGGTCCCAACATTTCAACAACTGGATCAACGCCCAAAAATCATACATCGATTCCCTAAACGGGTGGCTAAACCAATGCATCGATCACCAACCGGAACTAACCATCGATGGCGTGGTCCCTTATTCCCCGGCCCGTCTCGGGGCCCCACCAATTTTCATAATCTGCAACGATTGGCACCGCGAAATCAAATCCGTTTCCCAAGATCGCGTCTCCAAAGCTATACACGGGTTTGCGTCTAATCTGAGACAGTTGATGGAGAGGCAAGACGATGTGCAAAGGATTATGGTGAAAAATGAGTATCATGCAAAGGATTTGGCCGGAATCCGGAATAAGACTGGCGGCGGGTTGCCGGAAAAGACGAGCGGGCCGATGGTTCCGTCGGAAAGTGGGGTGGTGGAGGAGGAATGGGCGAGGCATAAGGAGGCTATGAAGTTGGTTGCTGGTGGTGGTGGTTTGAGTAGTTTACAAGGTGGTGTGATTCCAATTTTTAGGGCTTTAGAGACTTTTACTTGTGATGCGTTAAAAGCTCATGAGCAGGTAAGACTGCAAGGCTAAATTAGGAAATTTGTGGGAAGAAGCTAATTTTAAAATGAATTCTTTTGGTATGACTAGAGAGTAGACAGTAGTAGTAGTAGTTGAGGATATTATTGAACATGTTTGGGTGTTGGGTGTTGTTAGCCATTCCTTTTGAACCATCATAGTCTAGACTAGACTAATGTACAGACATATTGCTGATACTTTTGTTTTAAATTAGTAAAACCTTAGACAGAAATTGGTTGATTATTATTGCAAGGTAAATTGTACAAGATTTTGTAAATTATGGTTGTTATATTATTATATATACTCAATTTTATTCTTGTCATCTTTCTTTTAATTTATTGTTTCATTTGGATTACTGTTGTCCTACCATAGCATCTACAAGGTGAAATTTTGATAAATATGATCTTAGTTCAAGTATGGACGGATATTGCTTCTTTATTCTGGAATGGATATACCCTTTTTCGTATGTCACGTCCTTAATATGTAAATGATTATTAAAATACTTAACTATTATTAGCCCAGATTCAATTCAAACACTCTAGAAACCAAACCTAGATTGCCTCAATCTTCAAAGAGTTCATCTCACGTCATGTTTATTCATTATGACATCCATATTTTATTTTTATTCCCAAACATAAGAATATTTACATTCAATATTTAGACATTTCATAAAATTTCAGTAATTTAACAAAAAATAGACTTGCATCATCACCTTAAAAATAAAAAGGAATAAAGAAAAGGGCTAAACAACAATGTGTTTTCCTTTATTTGTATATTATAACATCATACTTTCATTTCTTTCCTTACAACATTGTATTTTCAATTATTTTCTTATTAAGGATTGTATTTTGAAAAAACTACCGAATTATTGCAATATACAACCAACTTATTTCGTATCATGACATTATAATTTAAAGAATCTTACCAACTATAGCAGTGAAAATTATTTTGTATTTTGGTTAGGGTTGGTAAATCTGGCAATTATGTAGTATTTTTTTGTCTGACACCGTGTTCCTTTTACTAACATGATACCATTATTTTATTTACATCATACTAAATCATACAAAATATGACAAACACGAAAAAGATAAGAAACACATGTTAATATTGTGTCAAATCTGTGTCGAGTTTTGAACATAAACACGACAGTACCTCGTGTTTTTTTACACTAAATACAAAAACAAATTTCAATTTCAATTTCTTGTCATGGTACACCCCTAAATTGGTACATTACAAGGTAAAATTTTCCATGCGCAATGTTGTAAAAGGAACAAATGCATGCAAGATGTTACAATAAACAAATCATTAAAAGTATGTTGCTATGTCTTGAATCTAACCCTAAAAAGCATAAAACTGCCATCACCTTCACTTTTTTTTGTAATTTCAGTCAACCAAACAAAGGTTGCCAACAAACGATGGAGGGTTCGGTATCTTTTGTACATGGAGGGCCAATTGTCGACACTCTTTTACCAATGGAGGGTGTGGAAAACTATTGTATGGGAATTTCGTCTTTTTCGATTGGTTCGTTAAAGATATTTAGCGTTTAGGGTTCAATCAAGCTAAGGCTTTTATTTGCGTCGTGATCTCTTGTGATTCGTCCCCTTTCGTGCAAAGCTTGACGTTTTAACAACTCGAACATCACCATGCTTAATATGTTTTCTTTTTGTAGCATAAACTGAATCACCATCAACACCCACACGAAGCCGGTGGCTTTTAGGCCTTAATGATCTTCTAAAATGGTTTCTTTTATGGTCTCTTGACGACAATCTCCTTCGACCATTGTTCCTATAAGAAAAACTTGTTTCCATGTCTGTTTCTTCATCGCTTCCATTAATATTCATGTCAGCCATTTCAATGTCTCTCGTGCGTCTTCTCCTTTTACCCTTGGCATTACACAACATATGACAAAGAAATTCGCATCCTTGTTCCCAGGCCGAGAAAAATGACCAGATGCATGCCCGTACAAGTTTCCATAGCATATGAAAAATGCAGTGATATATTCCAATCTTGTATAAAAAGTAGAAGAATAGTAAAACTGCAAGCATATTTATGAAAAAGTAAAGGGTTAAATGCTATTTAATGTTTCACTTTTTTCCCAGTTTATAAAACAAAGTGGTGAATGGAGCATAAGATCGATGTGTACATTGGATAAGAAGTAAACTTAGTTCTTAGGTATGCATGAAGTATACATACATATTATAGACAACATCTATGCACATGATATGATCATAATATTGTTTGGCAAAACATGAAGAAACTCACCGACGAAAACCAGAAGTGAAACCGCACACAATTTGATTAGATGTTGAATGCAGAAATTTTCGATGTAACAAGCCAAATCCCATGTTGGACCGCACAAAGAGCTGTCAGTAATTGTAAATTAACCACAAAAATCAGTCACCAATTGATAAAACTGAATTTAGAATGATAAATATCATCAAAGAAAGATACATGCATGGTGCGAATATATATATGTTTCAATAAAAAAAACTGCATCAAAGAACATAAATCAGAAATATGTTAAAGAAAGATGATGGATTTTTACTTGCAAGACTTGCCGGAAAGAAAATCGAGTGGAGCACCAAATATACTTCCAACTACATGACCGACTCCAGAAAATAATGCCCCGATTGGATTCCTCATGATCAATTTCCCCGTGGACGTCTTCAAGATTTTGATTTTGGGAAATGGAGACAAATGTGAGGAAGGAGATTAAAAAATTGTTTTTGGCGGTTATAAAACTTAATCCGACGGAGAAGTGGTTGTTTCAGTGTTTCTTGCCTAGTTGCCCTAACCAGCATACTAGCGTCTTTGAATTGAAGAATGTCAAATTGTCGATGGGTAATTTCCAATTGGGTATCGAATTCGACGATCTGAGGAAATGACTTGGGCCATTGGGTTGCCAACTAACAGATATAAAATGTGTAATTTAGTTTGCATGGACCATATATATATATATATATATAATATATATATATATATATAATATATATATATATATATATATATAGATATATATATATATAATATATATATATATATTAGGGGAGGGGTTATTTGGAAAACAAAAAAACCCTAAAATCATAAAAATGCATAAAAAAAATACCTAGACATTACAAAACTTTTTTTGAATTTTTTATCAAAAAATCGCAGCCTTTTTGACATTTCGCTGAAAAAAAAATAAAAAATCAATTTTTTTTTTCAAAAAAATTTCAGCGATTTTATGTTAAAAGCTGTTGATTTTTTGATAAAAAAATGCAAAAAAAAGTTTTGTGATCTATAAGTATTTTTTTTATGCATTTTTATGATTTTAGGGTTTTTTTAAGGTTTTTTTGTTTTCCATAGAACCTACACCTATATATATATATTATATCTTATATTATATATATATATATATATATATATATATATCTATATATATATATATCTATTATATATAATATATCTATATATATACTAGGTATGTTTGAGGCCCGTGCTAAGCACGGTCCATGGAAGGTAGTTTGGGTATTTCCTATACGTTGTCTAAAGTATCTTGTGCTAATAACCAAAAAACTAAAAGTACAATGCTATAAATCGATGAATTTTCAGTATAAAATACATGAATAAGAAAATGAAGATGGAACTACATTAGTATAATCAACAAATAAATGATATTCCATGTAAATTCGTGATAGATTTTTTCATCTTATTGAAAACCAATTAGCTTTTATTTCTCTATTCAAGCACTTGTTCCTTGATTGCCCCTTGATCTTTAACGTTGTATCTACTACTTCTTGGTTCTACATAACCTAAAAAGTTAAGCATGAATTAGAATGATTTGGAACTTTAAAAACTTTTTTAGCTCTAGCATCCATCTTAACATACTTGGATCTAATATTAACATCAAATAGCTAACTGATGTGTTATGTAATTAAACAAAAGTGATTCATTATTACTACATTGTTAATGGATGTTGTGTAGTGTCATGTGGATTCAGCAATAAAGGTCACACGACACTGGACACACATATCTTTATAAGATTTGATATAATGTTTAATTGAATAACTTTGTCTTTACAACCTTTGGTGAAGCGAAGTAGATATCGACACCATTATATGTGGCTAGTAGATATGTAAATGAGCAAATTGGTTGCCAGTTTGCAAGATCCCAAGCAAGTCAAATTTTAATTTCATCCAACACTCCTATCTCTCGAATAGTGTACACATTAAGAATAACCTTGTGATTAGTTAGTAGTTTATAACTATTAGTTTATGAGATATTTGTGAATCAGTAGACATGTAAAATCAAGAAACATATAAAAGAGAGATGGAACATAGAAAATCAGTAGGTTGTGAACCTCGAATAAACACACCAAACATGATTATAATGAGAGGAACTCCTTTTGACCATGTAAATTCACCATGAATGTAAAATACAGCTACGTTAATAATAAAAATAGAACATTAAAATTGTTGGTATTTAAATAAAATTAAATTTAATTACATTTTGCAACTATGTTAGTGAAGACGTTTCTTTAGCAGTTGTTGGTTATAATTCATAGAGTAATTTACAAAAATGGTCATTGTGCTTTTTATTTCTTTTGTGTATCTAGTACAAAACCGAAACCTTTTCAATATTGCTTTTACCATTTTATTGATTTTTAGCCACTCAACTATTTTCTGTAGTGATTACTTTTCTTGACTTAAAGAGAGGGCCATACCAGTATTGTGACAGCTTCCTTCACAACTCCAACAATAGTAAATATTGTTTCACTTGTTATAGAAAGAAGAATGTACTGATTAACGCCTGGAAATGTAAAACATGTGAAGATTAATTCGTATAATAAAACACAATTAATTATATTAAAAACACTTACCATTAAAAATACAAGAGCATCAAAAGGCCATTAAAGTGTTATATGTCATGGGCTATAAAAATAACTTGTCCTTAAGGTTCATTTGTTGCACTGTCAACTTCTGCGATACTGAGGACTTGATGACCAAGCAAGTAGATTATTGTACAACCGCTCCATGCAACTAACTCGCCTAACATTTCATGGTTGTTGGTGTTACCTGCATAGTATCGTCTAGATATTCCCTGAATATGGTTGTTTTTCAATTTTGGTCCCAATAAGTTTTATCCTGCATTTTGTTCCTTATTTGATGTTTTTGTAATTTTTTGTCCATATTCTAAGTTCTAATTAAAATTGCTACTTTTATTCCCTAATTATAACCCGACTTTTTTCAATTATGGCCTAAAAATTAGAGTCATATTACTTGAAACAGTGATTTGTTAAGCTATTCGATTAAAATTGGACAAAAATTATGTAGACAATACAGTTAGGAGAGTAACATGTATGTATGATAAACTTTTTTGTTCAAATATGAATCTCTCATTTTAAACGATTAAAAATCATAAAAAAAAGTTTATCAAATTCTATGATATTAGACAAATTTCATATTAACAGTAAAATAGATGTCAGCATCAAGCTACAAAATATCAATAAATCCATTATTTTAGGATTGTTACTTGGCTAAACTAACATGTAATCAATTTTTTCCATTTGCAATCCTCTTGAACCTTGTTTACTCTATTTGTATAATTTCCATTGCTTCAAAATAAATTCAACACCATCTTCAATCTGCCTTTCTATTCACATTTTTGCTCCAAAGATCTGACAAAGGATATATGGCACTATGATTGTACTGATTTATCTCTTTTAGAGTTGTAACAACCGCATTATACACATTCAACCTTGAACCTTGCAATCTTCTCATCTTCAATAAACATTTCCTGAGAAGAGGAAAAAATGTAAAATATAATATGAAAAGTGAATACTGATTTATGTTAATAAAGATCATACACTGAATTCAAATCCAATGGTGATGACCTTAAATGATGCAAGTTTCGATCCCTAAGAAGATCCACTGACAATTGATCCAAAGTTGATTGCATCCTTTTGAATTGAACAACGTATTTTGATAGCAACAAAGAAAAGCTTTTCCTCAAGTTCACCTGTTCTTTTTACACCAATATACACACAAGTTTAACTTTCATACCGTGTTCAAACAAGGACAAAATCAAACACTCAAGATGTCGTTACTGGTCATTGAAATACCCAAAGCACCCTGACAGACCAGTCAAAACTAATCATGTATTTATCAAACCAACATCTGTCAAGAAAACGTATCCCCCACAATGGGATGGCAGATAACCGTAATGTCTCCTCTTGATGGGCTGAAGTTTCAACTGATTCCTCTTTTTAATCCATTAAGCACTTCATAGAAAAAAACTAACACGCCCCAACTCAAAAAGCTGTTGTTATGGTGTTATTACAAAAATCAGAAGAAGAAAATTACCTATATTTTTTTAGACAAAAAGGTATAATAGCTGTTTACTTGTTCAAATAGTTCATTCATTCCAAAAGAAAAATAATCAGAAAGGCAATATGGGCATTTATTCTAATTCACGTAGTTTATTTAGACGCGATATAATAAAATATTAAAAATTGAGAAAACTTGACAAATATATTACTTTTTCCAACTAACATTAGTAAAATTCATTACATTTGTGTGACAATACATATAAGTAATATGGCATTACATATGAGTAATCGAGACTTGAATGCTTTTTGTATTGACTTCGAAGTAGAATATTAGTTAAATTAATTAACCATATGATTTTAATGACAATTTAATACCTCTAAGGTTCGACATTCAAACATTTTTGAAAGTCAATATGAAATCTGTATATTTCTTGAAACAAACCAACATTCATTGCTTTTTCTATTGAAAATCAAGAAAAGTTTGTAATGTAAGAACAAAAAAACACAAATATAAATAAATTTTAAATCGCAAGCCAGTAAATAAAACAAATTCTAGAAACTAAACTGAATGTACTTGGCATCAAAACAACCGGGTTTAAAGAATATGATTAACTTAATCTTTCCAACCAAAGGCATCCTTGCTGATTGGGTTGAATGATAACAATAATAAAAACCATCCAAGTAATTTACTGAAAAACTTACAACCAGACTACCTTATTCACAAGAATCATACGCCAAATTGCTTTTTCATTATTCTAAGACTTTAATCAAAAAACCACTACCATCTGATAAATGAAACACAAAAGCTCTTAAAGCCTCATAAACTACTAACTTGTTAATTGCTTATAAGACAAAGGAAAGCTAAATATCATATTAGTAAGAGTTTTTAAGTAACATAGAGATAGTAGGAGTTTTTCATGAGACGTAAAAAAAGTATCATGCAAAGTAGAACATATATCATTATAGAGTTGCAATTCGGTTTACCTGATGGCTGATATGGGTAATTAGGAACTTGATGCAATCAAAGGACTCAGTAATATTCAATACAACCCACATAATAAAACCCCACATAATCAGAAATTGAGTTATGAAATTTAAGAAAATTCACAAAATATAAGAGGGGGAGGGGGGCATGTGGCGGACGACAAAAGCAGGAAATTAGGGCACCAACTAATTCGAACAGAAAGGAGATTTCGATAAAAGAAGGGTTAATAACCTCTTGAAATCAAAAGGAAATCGTAAATTCTGAGGGAAAAAGACGTTGATGATAAGGAGATGCTTATGCTTTGTCGATCACCAAGAGGGTTGAAGAATGATGTTAAAGCCGCAAGTCATTACATCACCTAAAGGGTCCTCCCAAATCCATCCTGAAACTTCAACAACACCAACCCTGCAAAACCACAACTCCCTAAATATTAATTTCTCCGTGCAAAATGAAAGAAGGGGTGTTTTATGTTCAAATGAGAACATTTCTTATTTTGAGAACATTTATGAACAATTCTCAGCCTATCGTTTAATCTTTTTATAATTTAAATTTTATTTATTTCATAATTACTAATTTGATAAATAAAAATATCATCCCCACCCACCCTCACCCTATCAGATGTATAGTTTTCTCTCCGAACCACCATTGAGACCACCAGGCCTTCGCCCGAATCAGTCGGTTTTCGATTTCGCCCCACTAACGAGGATGTCATCGTACACTATCTCTTTCGTAAGTCTCATTGAACAACAAAGTCTATTGGTGTCGCTCCTCCACCATCAATCGTCATCGATGTTGATCAATCTGTACAAACACGATCCATGTGAGCTTCCTAGTACATTTTTGTTCAAGTTTATACATCTTATGCACAATCTACAACTCATTTAAGCCTAATTACGGATGATAGTGCCCTAAACCTCTCCAAAAATTGTTTGTTCGTACTTCTAATTTATATATATCGTTTTTATTGTTTTAATCATCAATCCATCTAATTCGATTCTCAAAGTTTGTAGAATGAGAATGAATGATTCGGATTAATTTATAAGTTAGGGTTTTTGGCAAGATAAAACTTTGAAATCGATTTAGCTTAAATTTCTATCCAAATCCATGCTCTTAATATTGAATTTAGATTTAACTTAATGTATTGGCTTTTACTTTTACTTGCTTGCAGCGTGTCCTGTAATCTTTGAGTTCATTAATTACTTAATTTTTACCTCGTTGCAAAGGACCACATACCCTGTCGATCTCTTATAAATGAGTTCTTTGAATTAGATGAAACCCCTAAAAACATGAAGATCAGATTAGTTGTTCTTATTCACTTGAAAGGAAGGGTTGTATAATGACATTAAGGGTTCGCGAAGGAATCAAGAGGTTATAAAACTTAATCCTACAACAGTACTCTGGCCAGTCACTCCATCAATCTAAAAATACATATCATAGAGGGGCGGATGATAACATTAACAAGCGAACCTTAACTTTTACATATAGGTGTTCATTTTTTTCTATAAATTTTTTATCAAGCATCAAATATGAATATTGCATACCTTAATCTAGTTATTGCATATCCTTATATCATAATCTACCCATTAAACTAAAAACTCCATAGCTCACCAACAAATTTATTACGAGTCAAATATTGCTATTATTCAATTGTCACATTAAAAGTACTTTTTATCACAAAAAACTATATTTCGGATGCATCGAAAAAGAAGGGGAAAACTACTCCGGAATTCGGAGAAAATGCTTCATTTGTACTAAAATCTAACACACACACACACACACACACATATATATATATATATATATATATATATATATATATATATATATATATATATAGAGAGAGAGAGAGAGAGAGAGAGAGCGAGCTAAGTTCAAATGTGGATTGACATCTATTGTGCGGACGTGTGGACAGTGCTATTTTGTGAAAATGACAAAGAAAATATGTTGTTTGATAATGTGAATACGTTCAATCTTACATAACTATTGTCATTATCACACATTCTTACTAATTAAATCGTCTATAAGGTTATTATAGACTTTTTATTGTTATTCTCATTCTGTCAGAATGTTTATTGAGTCGTATTCTTTAAGAATGAAAATAAGTGAAAAACGATGCATGAGAACAAAAATGAATAATAATTAGTGAGAATGCATTAAAATAACAATAGTTGTGTGAGTTTGAACGTATTCACATTACTAGACAATTTATTCTCTTACTAATTCTCATAGAATAGCACTATCCAAACGTCCGCACAATAGTTGTCCATCTACATTATAACCTAGCCATATATATATAATATATATATATATATATATATATATATTATATATATAGAGAGAGAGAGAGAGAGAGCTAAGTTCAAATGTGGATTGGCATCTATTGTGCGGACGTGTGGACAGTGCTATTCTGTGAAAATGACAAAGAAAATATGTTGTTTGATAATGTGAATAAGTTCAATCTTACATAACTATTGTCATTATCACACATTCTTACTAATTAAATCGTTTATAAGGTTATTATAGACTTTTTATTATTAGTCTCATTCTGTCAGAATGTTTATTGAGTCGTATTCTGTAAGAATGAAAATAAGTGAAAAACGATGCATGAGAACAAATATGAATAAGAATTAGTGAGAATGCATTAAAATAACAATAGTTGTGTGAGGTTGAACGTATTCACATTACTAGACAATTTATTCTCTTACTAATTCTCATAGAATAGCACTATCCAAACGTCCGCACAATAGTTGTCCATCCACATTATAACCTAGCCCTATATATATATATATATATATATATATATATATATATATATATAGAGAGAGAGAGAGAGAGAGAGAGAGAAAGAGTGAGAGAGAGAGAGAGAGAACGAACCCTTTAATAAACTGTTTTAAAGGAGATAATGAACTTATATATATATATATAGGAGTAGGATCAAATGAGAACACCCAAAAGGTTGAGAACGCGAGAACAGATCTGAACCATTTAAAAAACTAAATCTAAGGTTATTATTGAATGAGCCATTTATGTACAATTTTAAAAGTTACAGGTATTAAAGTGTAACTTCAAATGGTGATAAGGGTATTATAGTAATTGGACATTTACCACCGTTATTTAATTCCTATAATTCCTCAATCACTCGCCTATTTCCTTCTATTTCCCATCTCTCTCTGTAAACCTAGGTACGCCTCCACCCTACATCATCGATCCACCACAAAAGGGAAAAGAATGGTGAGACAAATTGGAATCGATGAAGCCAAAAAGGGGGGGGGAAGGGAAACAGGATCTCTGAATTGCTTTTGATCAGAAGGAGAGGATTCACGAACGGAGCAGGGATCTGGAGGCATAGTCGATTGGGGAATGTTCGATCCTCGTCTGATCGAGTGACAATGAACGGAAACAGGTCAGAAATCATTTGGGCTGCTCTCGGTTTTTTTTTGTTTGAATCAGCGAAAGAGAACTCCTACAAGTCGATATAGTTCACACATCGGTTTCATTGGAGATTCTAGACCAGCAATCGATTTCAAGTTGGAAGGTATGGTCTCGATTTTGCTTGAATGTTTTGCTGTGAGATAAAGGTTGATGATGGAGGCTATGTCGATGGTGTTTCCTGGTTACGAGGGTAAAGGGTATGATTAGGGCTTCCTTTATCTTTCATTTATTCAGAATCGATTCATTGATATTATCACCTTTATTCGATGTTTTTAAGTTGCAAATCTCTTCTCTTTCACTTTCAATTTTGTGTTTTTTTTTTCCCAATTTTGGGGGTTTTCTATCAAGAAACACATGAAAGATGATAAATGAAATTGTTTCAGGAGCGAAGAAATAAGAATAGGGAGCACCTCCACCGATTTGGTGGTTCATCGCAGTAGTGGAGTGGCTGGGGCTATTCTGGCAACCTCTTCACCACTTCGTTTTCTTGTTCCAGTTACTGTCGATGAGAGGGGGAGGAAGGCAGAAAGAAAACGAAACAGGGGGTGTTTTGGGTTGCTTGGTGTGTCGTAAAACTGTGGGAGAAACGGAGGGGGCTGCTGCCCTTGGCTCGCCGGAAACCACCAGCAAACACCTCTGGTGGGGGTGTTTTTGTTGCACCTCAAAGATAGGAGAAAAAGAAGGGAGTGTGAGAGGAAATGGAAGAATGAAAAATTATATTTATCTATGAATAACAGTTATTCATTTGTGGATAGTAGTGCATTCATGTGTGAATAACAGTGAATGAATAGCAGTGCATTCATGTGTGAATAGAAGTGTATTCATTTGTGAATAACAGTGAATGAATGTATTTATTTATGATTAGAGGTATTCATTTATTCAATTCTGAATAACAGGGTACTCATTTGTTAATAGCAGTGTATTCATTTGTGAATAACAGTGTAAGCATGTGTTAATGAGTATATTTATTTATGATTAGAGGTATTCTTTTTATAAAGAAATGATAAATTTTACACTATTTTTATTTTCAATTGATTAAAAAAAGGAATTAGATTACTTGTAAATTGATGTGTATTTATTTGTGATTGGAGTAGTATCAGATTTTTTGAAAAAAAAAATCATTTATGAATACAAATGTACTAATTTGGTGTTCGATTTCTATTCATTTTTTTTGAAAACAAAAAAAAAACGTGAAATAGGAGAAAAATTGATTTTTTTAAGAATTTTTTTTTTCAGTTTTAAAATAAATTTTGGTAAAAATGTTTTTTTATTCCATTAATAAGAAAAATAAAAAATTGAATATTTATTTCTTTTTTTTTGGTAACTGATCCTAAATTTAAGGGATTTGATTGAATTTTATTTTAATTTAATTTAATTAACTATACATTTACTAGTATGCCCTTATATCTTGATTGGTCTAGAATTGTTCTCGCGTCTCAACCGTTTAGGTGTTTTCATTTGATCCTCTCCTATTTATCTATATATATAATATATATATATAGATATATATATATATATATATATATCTATATATATCTATAATCTATATATATATATAAGCTCAACAACGAACTTGTTTTAAAGGAGCGAACGAACGAACCCTTTAATAAACTGTACAAGCTCCAACACTTCCTTTGCTTCTCCAGCACCTTTATTTCCACCTCCCTCGCATCCTGGACTCCATACCCTCTACTACGTCGCTGGAGCGTCTCATTAGGTGCATCCTATCACTCATCGTAGGCGCTGCCAAAAGGGTCGCTGACGAGCTCGGTTTCTTCAAATCAGTCGACGCCACCGCCAAAGACGCTGTCGCCAACATCGTTGCATCTCTCGTTCTTTCTCTCTGTAATGTCTTGTGTTTCCGTCGTGATAGATCCGTGACACTAGGGAGAACACGAGGAATCAAGATGGTTTAATTCAGATAAAAGGCATTGCTACTCCCAATTTATCCATCAATAACCATTATGGTTCCTGATTTAATTATAGATTTATATATAAGTATTAATCAGAAAAAAGAGAGGCAAAATATGATTATTGCAATTGTGCTCTCTCTTGGTTAGATCTTCGTCCTTTCGAATTGAGATGAACTAGGTTCATATCTGATATTACTTATTGAGAATTTATGATATGATATGGATGTTATTTTTACAGGAAAAATCTGGAAGATTCAAAATGCTTCATTTGGAGAGTTGCAATGGGGAAAATCCCGGTGGTGGATACTTTGGCGATTAGGGGAATAATGTAACGTCCTAAAAATACTAAGTAATTTTTTTTATTTTAAGTCAACCAAAATAATTATTCATTCATTCCAAATACCAAAATCAAGTGTAGGGAAGTTGTATCAAAGTTATTAGAGTACAAAACAAAATCATAGAATTCAGAACACTGGTGGATGTTGTGCGATCATGTTGGGCCCTTCCCCTTCAAACCAGAAGTACTTGAAATTATAAACATAAAACTGTAAGCACAAAGCTTAGTGAGTTACCAAAATACCATATATAATACAAGTATCGGGCCCCGCTCGGTATACATCGGGCCCCGCCCGGTATACATTGGGCCCCACCTGATATTCATTAGGCCTCGCCCGACATCGGACCCCGCCCGATATACATACAAATACATGCAAGAGTCACAAAGACAACTAGCATCCCACATACATAAACCATTGGGCCGACATTGGTGCCTTCGACCCACAAGTACAATGAAGAGACTCACCTCTCAGACGAAAATCAACTGTTACTGCTCTCAGTACCAAATCATAAGTGCTAAACCCACCTCGACATTCATACAAGGTAAACCCTTAGTCCACCTTTCTAAAAGCTAAGAGTTGACCAAAAGTCAACTCAGGTCAAAGAGTCAACAGTCAAAGGCAAAGAATTCAAAATGCCATTAGCACCCCTCCACGTTGTGGCCTTCTATGGCTACGCCGTCGACACAAAACAACGAAATAGTCGACTGGTCTCTGGTCACCACACCGTGGGGACCAGTCTGAATGGCTTATTCGAGTTAAGTTGCCCTTAACTCATTTTCAGGGGCTCAAAAGCCCAAATCTATTCCTTCCCAACGTCTTGATGGATAAAGTTTCCAACTTTATCCATTAAGACGCTCCATTAAGACACGATCTCGAAACCTAGGTTCTAAAGGTCAGTTAATAGGTATAACTCCTCTATTAAGTCCTTAATCACAAGAGATACAAGCCCAAACTTTCCAGAAAGCTTTTAGGGGTCCTATTGACCCCTAAAAATGTAAACTTTATGGACATGCATTCCCCATGCATATCCTTCCTCATATCTAGGTTAAAAAAGAAGAAAAAGGACCTAAAGCTCATCGAAGATTTCCAAATCACAACCATTTCTCAAATATATGAGATATAATGTCCTTGGGACACCTAAGAGTCATAAAATTGCAAAGTTGATCTCTTTGATCCACTCAAAATCTAATAAAAGAGTTATTAAGAAAAATAACACCAGATCTCTAAAGAGAAGATAAAAGACTAGATCAAGAGCCTTACAAATGGTGCAACAAGGTGCTTCCAGAGGTTGGGGAGTGTTGCTTGCTGGTCTCTTGCACAAAATCTTCCTCTACTCCCTTCAAAATCACCAAAAGCTAGCGAATGAGCTCTAAAAGCTTCAAAGACGATAACGGTTAAGGTTTCCGGGGGTTTGAGAGTGATGGAGGCTGAGGATGAATAAACCCTAGCCTCCCTATTCCTTTAAATTGGGCGTAAAACCCATAAATTAGGGTTTCATTAAAATCAGCTGCCACATCGTGGCACATATCTTTTAAACTCTACGATCAATGAAAACATCACCATGCCGTGGTGAGGCTCCACCACGTCGTGGCCACCCAAAATGAAGACTTAATAATATAGTGGATTAATTCATACCTGGAACGGGTGTTACAACTCCCCCCCACTTGAATCAGACTTCATCCTCGAAGTCCTCTGCTGGAAATATCTCTGGATAATGCTCCCTCATCTCCTCCTCGGGCTCCCACGTCCATTCTGAGCCCTTCTGGTGCTGCCATATCACTTCACCAAACCCACCACCTTGTTTTGTAGAGTCTCCATCTTCCTATCGAGGATCACAACTGGGCTCTCTACATCAACCTGAATATCCTCCAATGACATTACTATGGAATCATCAATTAAGAATTTTCGCAGCTGAGAGACGCGGAACGCGCTACGTTTCGCATAAGAGCTCCGTTTTCGACGTTCTTTATATGCACGCGTAGGTAAAATTATACTCTACGACTTTCGTTTAGACTTCGTCGGCTAATTTTGAATTTTATTTTTAATATTATTATTTTTAACAGTCCGGGACATGAAATCCGTTAAAATTTCATAACTTCTTCATCCGACGTCCGTTTTCGTCTGTCTTTTTACCGTTGTACTACTTTTGACGAGACCTTCGATTCTCGTTTAAGTTGTGTCGGCTAAATATCGATCGATTTATATTTCGAATTTTTAGTTGTCTACTGCTAAACCGAAACTTAGAAAAATCATAACTTGCTCATACGAAGTTAGATTTTTACGTTCTTTTTATGAAAGTTCTCGGTTTGACATATTCTACAACTTTTATTTAGATTGTTAAGGCTAAAAAGCCTTTTTATCGAAAATTCATATTTTACACTGAACAGTGTTTTGCCGGTTTTGTCGCGGATCTTCGATTGGTCATAACTTCTTCGTTATAACTCGGATTTCAGTGTTCTTTATATTTTTGGAAACCTTGTTACAATCTCTACCACTTTGTTCATCCCAATTACGATTATTGGTCAATTTATTTTTGACCTAAATTTGACTGGTGTCACATTATCCCCCCGTTAGAGGGAATTTCGTCCCGAAATTAAGTCTAAAAGTGATACTCATGGACTAGGGGAAAGATGTGGATATTTTTGTTTTATCTAATCTTCCCTTTCCCAAGTGAATTCAGGTCCCCGGTTTGTAATCCAGCGAACCTTCACTAACGGGGTAAGACTTTGCTTGGTTCTTTTGATTTCCCTATCCATGGTTTCTATTGGTTCTTTTACAAAGTGTAGACTTTTATTTAACTTGATTTCATCGAGTGAAATAACAAGTGTTTCATCGGATAGACACCTCTTTAGATTAGATATGTGAAAGGTGGGATGAATGTTTTTAAGTTTTTGTGGTAGTTTAAGTTTAATAGCTACAAGACCGATTCTAGTAAGAATCTCAAATGGTCCTATGTACCTTGAATTTAGTATTCCACGCTTTCTCAAGCGTATCTTGTCCTTCCGGGGTGAGACCTTCATATGACAAGGTCAACAACCTGGAATTCCAAGGGTTTTCTTTTATCGAAGCCGTAGCTTCTCTGATTAACTCTGGAAGCTTTATGTCGCTTCCTGATTCGTATTTTCTTTTTGGTAGTTTCTCGGATGAATTCCAGATCAGCGAAGGTGCTGTGTGGAAATTGGACCTCTAGCTAGTTGCGTATTACCTAATTTAGTCCAGTGCAGATAGGATCTGCACTTGCGATCACATAAGGTTTCGAATGGAGCAACTTTAAATGCTAGCATGGTAAAGGACTCGACTAATTGGTAAATGGGTATCCCAT